ACGAAAAAAACCATGGTTTGGATTCTGCAAGACAAAAGCTTGTATGCTTCTAACGTTCCTGACTGGCTGGGGGGGGGGGAATTTCACTTCATTCCCTCTGTCCAGGTTGATGATATGTGTCATGACAGAACAGGAAGTAAGGAGAAATCACTAATGAGGGGGACACAGCAAACGCATAACAATCTTGCCTGTGTAAACCTTTCCATAATGTATCTACAGGTAATAAAACGGGTTGTAGTCCCCAAGCCTTAAAGTGTTACTAAACCCAGGACCCTGCCATAGCACTATATCTGGTTTCGCCCCGGACCCTGGCAAAACAGTGATTACTCTGGTCTCCCACAAGTACACAGAAACATGGAAATGCAATTATTTTAAGTAAATATTAAACTGCTAAATACAGTTTCTCATCAAGCAGTTTAGAGCAGTCTTGTTGACTTCTATCAGTGTGGTCCAGCAAGAGCACTAGGTTAATGTTTGTAAGAGGAGTTTTCCATTCGCCTCTCAGCTATCCTATGAGACCTTGCCAGAACCCCTGATCTGTCTCTGGACAGTGCTGATTGGCCCCTGTGCTGATCACTAATGCACTCTCCACAAGAAAAAAGAAAAACTCTCTTACACTAGCGAAACACACCAAAAACTGAGCATCGTGTGCAGCTTGCCTCCAACGGCCCCTCTGTTCTAATGAGGAGAATGAGTCGGGAACAATTGGTAGAGGAGAAGAGGATCCAGAGAAGTTCGCAGGATCAAACATCCTTTTTACACAATGTGGAGGATTTAACCCCTTAAGTTCCCACTGTGAGTATGCCAGCATAGCTTTACTGCATATTACAGACTGATTTTAACTGTTGTGGAATTTAGTAACACTTTAAAGGTCCAATTACAATCCCAAGAACCCTCTCCTCCTCCACCCAATTTTTTTTTTCTTTTGCACCATAGATCATTTTTATCAGCTGGCTACAGGCTGGGAACTAGAAATGTTTATCAATGTCTCCAGACAAGACAATGTTTCTTTCTTTAGTTTATTTCCCCATGGTTTCTGTTTCCCCATCTTCAGGGCATGTAATTCAATAGCCAGCAGGGGAGATTCATCGATGTGCATTGTTTTGTGTGAATGGGGGAATTGTTTCCTCTCATAACCAGGTTACAGGACATAACCAGAGAAATCTTATAACCTTTTGCATATGTGTCAAATACAAGGCCCATGGGCCGAATCCAGCCTGCCAGGCTATTCCATGTGGCCCTCACACTTCGCCTGCAACTGCGGCACCCCCCTTGTCTTCGCCCTCACCTTGTCTCCCCAGTCGGCAGCAGAGAGGAGGAAGAAAGAACTCCTCCACCAGGTCCTGCACCTCTCTGTGCATCCCCTCATCTCCACCTCTCCTGGTCTCAGCATTTAGTACACCATGGCAGCAAACTCCAGGCCTCCTCTGGTCCTCCTCCAGATCCTGCACTTTCTGCTTTCCAGCTGTGCCCCAGCTTCTTCCTGGCAGCAGCACAAGCTAAGAGGGGTGCACTGTGATATAAGGCAGGGTGGGGGACCCTGATGGAGGGGAGATCTTGACATCTGATGTAAGGGGAAGTGAGGTGCTCTGGACATTTAGCCTTACAGATACAACCAGCTCCATAATGCTGATGCAGCCCGTGAAGCTATTGAGCTTGACACCCCTGCCTTACAGTGTATGGCCAGTGTCAATGAGTGGGAAATCCAAAACAAAGTAGTTATCAGAGCAATAAAAAAGAGAAACCCTCCACATTTTTCAATTAAGCTGTGCAAGGGGAATCCCCTCAAAGTGGAAAGATTTCCTCTCACTTTTCATTCTGTACATAGCAGGTGAAACCCCCAATAGGACAGAAAAAAGTCCTTAGGGGTATTAATCATTCTCCACTCCATGAAAAATGTTTGGCCTTAGATGCACTTTATCAAAAATATTAAAACCTGTAACATTGTTTTTTTTTCCCCTCTCTCTTCATGTCTTCTCTTTCTCCCATTGGCTACAGCGGTGCTTGTCCCTTGTGGTCCTTGGGGCTGTTACTAAAAGAATTCCCTATTTACCCCAAGTGCCATCTCCCAAGTGTTGGACTCAAGAAGATTCTTTTTCCTTTCCTTGGATTTAGGAACATGTTAAAAATATGCGTTGTTTCACAAAACGGATCTGATTGTATTTCATCTTTGTACCTCTAAGGAATAGTTGTTTCCTTCTATGCATCTCCTAGATTGTAAGCTCAAAGGATCAGGCCCTCCTAACCCTCTTGTATTGAACTGTATTGTTGCTGTATTGTCCCCCCGTTATATTGTAAAGTGCTGAGCAAACTGTTGGCGCCATATAAATCCTGTATAATAATAATAATGCATTATGCTGTGTGTCCCAATTATCTTTTTCTGAGATTTATGTGTAATGTTCATGAATATGTGTTTTGGTGGAATTTATAAATAAAGAATCTTCAGGCTCCATTCACACTAAGACATTTCAAATCGTGGGTGGAATTGCAATGATTCTGCCTGCAATTTGAAAACGAGCTGTGAAAATGCGTATATGCATGTTCAGGTGCCATTTATGTCAATGGCACCTGAAATCGTGGGGCATTTTTGTCGAGATTGCAGCACGTTTTTCTGCGTGGCAAAAATGCCGCAATCACACAAACAAAATCGCAGGAAACAGTTCCGAAAGGGTTTTTGGGTGTTGGGCGTCCTGCGATTTTGTTTGTGTGAACCCAACACATTTGTAGCTTGGAAAAACGCACCGTGATCACGGCAAAAATGCCCAGCATTTTCAAGTGCATTGAAATGAATGGCTCCTGAACACGTGTTTTCAAATCGCAATTCCACCCGCGATTTGAAATGACTTAGTGTAAATGGAGCCTAAAGTGCTTCTAATGACAAAAAGGTTTTTTACCTTAATGCATTCTCTGCATTAGGGTGAAAAACCCTTCATGTGTCTGACCCCCCCCCCCCCCCTTTACCTGATACCACTGTCAATCCAGCGCTGTCCCCACCAACAGCCCCACTCTCCTCTCTTCCTGCAATCCTTGGAGTTTACTGAGAGCAGCAGAAACCATTGGCTCTTGCTGCTGTCAGTCAAGTCCTGTGAGGAGGGTGGGGCCAAACCATGATGTGTATGTCTATGGACACACACAGCCAGGCTCATGAGCAAGCCCGCACCATAGCAGATTCCTATGGTGACACATTAAGAAGAGGAGGAACTGAAAATTCCAGTGAAGAGGAGATTCAGGGTTGATCTGTGCACAGCGCAGGTAAGTGTACCATGTCATTTCAAAAAAACCCTTTACAATCACTTAAAATAATATGGAACATTGTACAAATAAAGATTATAGACATTGGTAAGTTCACTTTATTAACTGTTAGTTCTTCCAAAAAAAAAGTCATGTAGCTTATTGCACCATGTAGCAAGGAGATGCCCGCCGATTTATGTATATTGGGGAAAATGGCAGTGAGAATGTCAGTGATACTAAACCTGCAACTGATTTCAGAACCCTCGGTGTTCCTCTGGACCTCTATGACATCCTAATTGCTTCCAAACCTGCTAAACTCTTTAATGCCCTTTTTTTTGCTAGATGAGAGATACTTCTTAAATGGAAGCAATGGCACCCCACTGTTTTATTCCCACTGGAGTTCAGCTCTCACCTCTATGCTCCCAATGTATCGACTAATGTTTTTAAGCAGAGGCTGCCCAACTAAACACAAAAAAATGTGGTCCGCATGGGCAACCTCTGTATAACACCCGCCCCCTCCCTTTTCCTCAAGCAAAGGTTATGATTTTTTGTATAAAATAGCGATTTGTTTCTAGCATGATACGTTTCTTTGTATTTTGTCTATATGTAATATCGAATAAACTTCCAAATAAACTTTAAACTGTTAAAAAGGTCACAGGTATTATTCGAACCCAACATTTCATATCCCTGATATGTGCTTGCTGTACCATGTACTTGTATGAGAAAGTATCCTGCTATTTTCACATTGCTTCCTTTATGTGAAATGCCTGGTGACCCTGCCAGTCCCCTTGCTTTCCTATTAATAAAAACTGACCACACTAGGCATAAAAGCACAGTCTGGTCAGTTCTCTAGCTATGTTGAGAACTCAGTGTGCTTTCCTCCACTGATCAGACACGCTCCCTTGCATAGCCATTCACTGGGAAGACCAGTGTTCTGCTGTTTCTCCTCCCCACCTATGTGCAGCTGAGAACAGAGGGAATGTGATCACTTATAAAAAAAAAAAAAGAAAAAAAAAAGGTATTTATAATGTTTTTTTTCTATGTACAGACAAATATTTTGCCTTTCATTTCTATTTTAAACTGAACAGTTTGTTTAGGGCCTCGTGTACACTGCTGCTCCTAGTTTAGGAGCTTTTGCAATTTTTTTGCCAAAGCCCCTGAACTCAACTCAGTAGAAGCACACATGGGCTTTTATCCAAGTTTAGCAGCAACAGAGTTTAACGTCCCTTTTCTGAACACAGACGAAGTGCATTCAGGAGAGGAACGCTTTGGCCAAAAACCGCCAAGCGCGGCAAAAATGCAGGTAAATGCACCTAAGCACTAGCTGTGTTTTAGCTCTTGGGTGTTTATTCATTTCAATGACAAGTACTCTGACTAATGAAATGAATAAACATCCAAACTCTAAACGTGGCTAAACGCATTACCGCATTTACACACGTTCTTGCCGCATTTAGCTTTTTTCTGCTACCAGTAGAGTTGATGTCTACAGCAATTCCAGTGTACATGTAGCCTTACAAGGTGAGGGTTTACATATACTGTAACAACATCCTTTGTCCGTACTGAACGGAACAGCCATAATATCCTGGTTTTACCCATCACTAGTCCTGGTTGTGTTGGTAGCATTTTCAGCTGGTAAGAAAACTGGCTTCAGTAGCAGATTATTAGAATCTCAGCTGATCAAGTAAGAAGCCCTTTAAAATGACGGGAATAAAGGTCATGGCGAATAGTGTAGATTGCAGGACTATTAGATTTATCTCTTGTGTATCAGTCTATTCGCTACCATCTACAGGTGTATTGTCCATGCAGTTTTTTTTGATCTTCTTCACATTTATATGAATCCCGTTTAAAGAACGAAGAACGATTTGAGGGATTTTAACTGGCTCATTTTCTGGATCCGGAAGCAGCTGAAACCTCTGTAATGTCAGAGCCACGGCTACCTTCATTTCATTCATTGCAAAGTTTTGTCCAATGCAATTCCTACAAAACAAAATATTACATTAGCAGGTTAACTTTCCATAACTTTATGTCCAACTTAACGTTTAGTTTAAATCTACTGAATACATTCCAAGTGCATTAGTGCAAGAGGGGTGCAAAGTTTTACCATTTGTTTTCTTTAGAAAGCAGCCACAGCCTGAGTAGAAAAGCCTGTCCCCTGCCAGCATGTTGTAGAGCATGACCCTTGTTCTTTTTGTAGAAGCTGTGGTCTCACTGCAGAGGTCACACTTGTCCCGTGCAAATCAGAGCTACAACTCTTCAATTAGTAGGAATTGTCAGCTTTGCTGAATGTTGAACTCTAACTCATTCACTTTAAGACATAACGTGAATGTGAATCTTCCTAATGGGGACTGAGACAGCAATAGAAACTCACACCACAAGCACTGTTTGTGACAGCATTGTGCAGGTGACAGGTCCTCTTCATGTGGACATCAGGGGTCTATTAGCACATACAGTATGTGAATTGGAGCTTACTGAGCTGACAGTATCATTGTGGTACTGGTGGCTGAATCTCACAATAGCAAAAAGCAGCAAAATGGTTGGATAATGGAGTTTATACTTCCTTACCGTGCCCCAGCAGAAAATGGAAGGAAGGCATGGGGGTGTCTGTCTGATGAATTCTCTGAAGAAAACCGTAGTGGGTCAAACACCTAATTGATAGAAAATATTCAGACATAATTTTGTAGGAACGTGTACGGCACCTTGATAATATCTTACATGCACGTAAAATGATGAGTCAAAACTTAAAGTGGTTCTAAAGGCTCAAGGTTTTTAACCTTCATGAAGGTAAAAAAACCTATGTGCAGCAGCCCCCCAGCCCCCTAATACTTACCTGAGCCCCATTGTGATTTAGCGATGGGCTCTCCAGGGACTCTCCCTCCTCTTCGGCTCAAACAGCAACAGGAGACATGGGCTCCTATTGCTGTCAAATCACAGCCAGTATGCTAATGAGGACAGAGAGAGGGCAAGGCCGAACCGCAGTTCTGTGTGTGAATGGACATGCAGAGCAGCAGCTCAGGAGCAAGCCTGCTTGAGTACCCCCATACACGCTGCTTGCTCCGGGGGCACTCGACAGGAGGGAGAAGCAGGAAGAGGGGGGTAGACCTGAGAAGAGGAGGATCAGAACTGCTCTGTGCAAAACCACTGCTCACAGCAGGTAAGTATAACATTATTTTATTCAACTTGCTTTAAATATCACTTTAAAGTGGAGCTTAGGCCAAACTTTGTTTGTTTTGGATATAATGGAGAAGAGTTAGGATCTCAGGTTTTTTGGATATCATTTATTTATTTATTATTTATTTATTTATCGAGTTTATATAGCGCCAAAGGGTTTGTTTGCTCAGCGCTGTACAATAGAGGGGGGACAATACATGAAACAGTACAGTAACATCAAACAGCACACAAGGGGTAAGAGGCCCTACTCTTTTCGAGCTTACAATCTAGGAGGAGGGGGGTAGAGGTACAGGAGGGAAACGGCTGTGGGGGATGGAGTGGTAGGAGGAGGGAAGGGCAGCGGCTGTTAGGTTGAGGGGGGTAGGCTTCCCTGAAGAGGTGGGTTTTCAGGGAGCGCCTGAAGGTGAGGAGGGAAGGTGACAGTCTGATGGATTGGGGTAGTGAGTTCCAGAGGATGGGGGAGGACCTGGAGAAGTCTTGCAGTCGTGCGCGTGGGAGGAGGAGACCAGGGAGCAAGATAGAAGGAGGTCCTGTGAAGAGCGAAGTAAAACTGGGTACGGGTCGTAGGGTGGGTGGTACTTTGGGAATCAGGTCAATGGCGTGAGGTAGTTTCTGGGGCAGTGTTGTGAATGGCTTTATAGGTCAGAGTGAGCAGTTTGAATTTAATGCGTTGGGGCAATGGGGAGCCAGTGGAGGGAGAGGCAGAGGGGGTGGGGGGGGGCAGGGTGGAGCGGTCTGGTGAGGTGGATGATGAGTCTGGCAGCTGAGTTCAGGATGGTCTGAAGCGGGGGAGAGTTTGCACTGGGGTAGGCCGATGAGGAGGGAGTTGCAGTAGTCAAGGCGTGAGATAATCAGGGAGTGAACGAGTAGTTTAGTGGTGTCTGGGGTAAGGAAGGAGCGTATTTTGGCGATGTTGCGAAGGTGGAGCCTGCATGTATTTGTGAGTGATTTGACATGAGGTTGGAAGGAAAGGTTTGAGTCCAGAACGACGCCAAGGACCTTGGCTTGCTGGGCGGGATTGATGGTGGTGTTGTTGGTAGTGATGGAAAGGATGGGGGGGGGGGGGGGCACGGGAAGGGGGAAAGACGAGAGAAGCTCGGTTTTGGAGAGGTTGAGTTTTGAGGAAATGGAGCGACATCCAGTCAGAGATGTCGTTTAGGAGGTGAGTGATGCGGGCGGAGAATGTGGGGGTGAGGTGAGGGGTGGATAGGTAGATTTTGAGTATCATCAGCATAGAGGTGGTAGTTGAAAGCCGTGGGGAGTGTATGAGTAATTGCCAAGGGAGGAGGTGTAGAGATGGAGAAGAGAAGGGGTCCAAGGACAGAGCCCTGGGGGACCCCAACAGAGAGGGGGAGGGAAGAGGAAGAGTGAGGTGGCGCCGTTGTAGGAAACGCTGAAAGGAGCGTTGGGATAGATAGCACAAGAACCAAGAGAGAGCGGTGTCTCTGAATGCCAAGGGAGAGTAGTTTTATTAAGGAGGAGGGGGTGGTCGACTGAGTTGTCAAAAAGCCGCAGGAGAGGTCTAGGAGGAGGAGGACAGAGTAGTCGCCTTTGGCTTTGGCGGTTAGTAGATCGTTGGTGATTTTTGAGGAGGGCAGTTTCGGTGGAGTGTAGGGGACGGAAGCCGGGACTGTAGTGGGTCAAGGAGGTTGTTGTCAGTTAGGTGGCGCGCTTAGGCGATCGTAGACCAAGCGCTCAAGGAGCTTGGACATGAGTGGCAGCAGGGAAATTGGTCTGAGGTTGTTTGAGGTCAGTGGGGTCCAGGGAGGGCTTTTTGAGTATGGGGGTGATGTGCGCATGTTTTAGGGGGGAGGGGAAGACGCGCCAGTAGCGAGGGAGAGATTGAAGATGTGGGGTTAAGGGAGCGGATGAGGGAAGAGGGGGGTGACCGGGAGGAGTTGAGAGGGGATAGGGTCCAGGGGGCAGGTAGTGAGGGCGGGCTTCTGAGAAGACTCTGGTGACTTCCTCAGTGGTAGTAGGGCTGAAGGAGTGCAGTGATGGGGGGGTTACGGTAGGCAGGGCCTTGGGTGTGGTGGGGGGCAGTGCCGTTGCAAGGTCAGAGGAGGGGAGAGATGAGATGGTGATGGATGGAAGGGGAGAGGCTAGATGGGGAGGTAGACTGCAAGTTGACTATGTCCTTGCGGATTGCGTCAATCTTGCTATGTGGAGATGAGTGGCAATCTCGTGGGCGGTAAGTGAGGTACTGAGTGGAGGAGGGGGGGGAGAGAGCAGGGAGTTGAAGGTGGAGAAGAGTCGGCGAGGGCAGTTTGAGAGGGTGTTGATCAGGTCAACGAAGTAGTCCTGCTTGGCGGCGTGGAGGGAGGAGGTGTAGGTGAGGAAGGCAGATTTGTAGAGGGAGAATGCATGAGGGGACCTGGTTTTGCGCCATAGTCTCTCCAGCGCACGACTGCGACGTTTGAGGCATTTTAGTGTGGTCGTTCCGTCTGCCATGGTTGGAGCGGTCTGGGTTTGATGTTGCGTGTGGTTAGGGGTGCCAGAGAGTCTAGGGGTGGCTGATAGTGAGTCGTTGTACGCGGTGGTGGCTAGGTCAGGACATGACAGTGGAAGGATGCTGTCGTGCAAGCGTCGGCAGCCGAGTGGAGGGGGGCCGCAGGGTGCAGGTTGCGGAGGTTGCGGCTGGTGATGGTTTGGCGCACTGGGGGGGGGGGGAGTTAGGGGAAGGGGAGATGGAGAACGTGAGGAGGTGGTGGTCGGAGAGAGGGAAGGGGGTGTTAGTGAAGTGGTTAAGGGTACAGAGGTGGGAGAAGACGAGGTCCAGGGTGTTCCCATTGATGTGGGGTGAGGATTGAGTGTGTTGTGTGAGCGCGAAGGAGGTGGTTAGGTGGAGGAGTTGAGAGGTAGCTGGGGTGTGGTCGTTGATGGGGATGTTGAAGTCCCCGAGGATGATGGTCGGTAGCTCAGAGGAGAGGAAGAAGGGAAGCCAGGCGGCGAAGTCATCCAGGAAGCGGGCTATGGATCCGGGGGCCTGTAGATCACTGCGATCCTTAAGGGGGTGGGTGAGAAGAGCCGGATGCAGTGAGCCTCGAAGGAGGAGAAGGTTAGGGAGGGGGGGTTAGGGAGGACCTGGAAGGTGCTCAGCGGTGATAGGAGCAGGCCGACACCACCACCTTTGTGACCGCGCCAGTCTTGGTGAATGGGACCAGATGAGACCTCCATGAGAGAGTGCCACAGGGGAGGTAGAGTCGGTGGCCTGTACCCAGGTTTCGGTGATGGCTAGGAGGTTGAGGGAGCGGGAGATAAAGAGGTCATGGATGGCAGTTAGTTTGTTGCAAACCGAGCGGGGCGTTCAGAAGTGCAAACCGAGAGAGGGGGGGGGATGGATGTGGGGAGGAGGTGCACAGGTATGAGGTTGAGGGGGTTGCGGCGGCTGGCGGGGAGCAGGGGGGTCCCTGGAGGGGGGGAGAGGTGGTGAGGGGCCAGGGTTCGGGGAGATGTCCCCAGCGGATAGGAGAAGGAAGAAGGGTGAGGAGGGTGGCATGGGAATGGGAGGTGCAGGAGGTGCAGCGTGTGTGGGTCTGGTAGTGGTGGCACGTGGGTCGACCAGGGAGTGGAGTACCAGGAGGAGGTGGTGAGTGCCGTAGTGGGGAAAGGGCAGAAAGTGAAGGGGCAATGTAGAGCTGTTTTGGGGGGTGGTGCGGGTAGAGGGAGGCGATTTTTGGATGGAGGAGAGGAAAACGAGGAGGAGAAGTGCAGGGTGCATGCTGGGGTGAGTGCATGCTGTTCGGGACAGGGGAGGTGAAGGGATACGGGTCAGGGCGAGGTGATGTGGAGAGTCTATATCACCGTGGAGGAGTCCACTAGAGTCCTTCTGTAGGGGGAGAGTGGGAGTAGAGTCCAGCAGCTGGCTGGCTGCAATCTGTGGGTGCAGTATGCTGGCGTCCGAGGGGGCATCAGTGGGTCTGGTGGATCGGCGAGTGGAGGGGACGTAGGGTGCGATGTTGGGGGGCGTTGGCAGGCAAGGTGTCTGGTGATCCTGGCGGCTCGGTGACTGGAGATTCGCTGGGTGGTCCGGGTCTGGGAGATTCGCTGGGCGACGTCTTGATTCGCTGGGCGACGTCTCGATTCGCTGGGCGACGTCTCGATTCGCTGGGCGACGTCTCGATTCGCTGGGTGGTCCGGGTGTTGGGTGACCAGAGGTGGTAGCTGGGTGCCCGGTAGCTGGGTGCTGGGTGTCCAGGGGTGGTAGCTGGGTACCCGGTAGCTGGGTGCTGGGTGTCCAGGGGTGTTAGCTGGGAGCTTAGACTTCGAGTTGCCAAGCAAAGGCCAAGAGATGGGAAGGACGGGAGAATCCTCAACAACAATGCATTGCAATATCTGGAACGGCATTACAGACCCATGGTTTTACGGAATCCCCTCGATGCAGGTAGCGGAGGTGCGGCGTTGTCCTGGAAAGGTTCCTGGTCTGGGGCTGGCTGGTGCAGGGTGGCCCGCAGGGTGCTGGGAGGCCTGAAGCAGTTCCCAGGCAGGGTCGCCGGGTGCGAGCAGCTGGGTGCCCCGAGGTGGCGGCTGGGTGCCGGGTGGTCTGGGGTGGTCCCAGAGCTAGGGAGGGCTCCAGGGAGACCGTGAGGCCGTGCCGGTTCCTGGTGGTCCAGGGTGATCAGCGAGGCTGATGGGGAGGGCCCTGGGCAGGCAGGCAGGTCGGCGGGACCCGGTGGGCAGAGCGGTGACGGTCCGGGTAGATGTCCGGCGATCCGGGTTAGGATCTCAGGTTTTTGGGATATCATGGGGAAGAGTTAGGATCTCAGGTTTTTGGGATATCATGGGGAAGAGTTAGGATCTCAGGTTTTATGGATATAATGGAGAAGAGTTAGGATCTCAGGTTTTTTGGATATCATGGGGAAGAGTTAGGATCTCAGGTTTTTGGGGGATATCATGGGGAAGAGTTAGGATCTCAGGTTTTTGGGATATCATGGGGAAGAGTTAGGATCTCAGGTTTTATGGATATCATGGAGAAGAGTTAGGATCTCAGGTTTTTGGGATATCATGGGGAAGAGTTAGGATCTCAGGTTTTTGGGATATCATGAAGAAGAGTTAGGATCTCAGTTTTTTGGGATATCATAGGGAAGAGTTAGGATCTCAGGTTTTTTGGATATCATGGGGAAGAGTTAGGATCTCAGGTTTTTTGGATATCATGGAGAAGAGTTAGGATCTCAGGTTTTTGGATATCATGGAGAAGAGTTAGGATCTCAGGTTTTTGGATATCATGGAGAAGAGTTAGGATCTCAGGTTTTATGAATATCATGGAAAAGAGTTAGGATCTCAGGTTTTTTGGATATCATGGAGAAGAGTTAGGATCTCAGGTTTTTTGAATATCATGGAAAAGAGTTAGGATCTCAGGTTTCTTGGATATCATGGAGAAGAGATAGGGTCTCAGGTTTTTGGATATCATGGGGAAGAGTTAGGATCTCAGGTTTTTGGATATCATGGAGAAGAGATAGGATCTCAGGTTTTTTGGATATCATGAAGAAGAGTTAGGATCTCAGTTTTTTGGGATATCATAGGGAAGAGTTAGGATCTCAGGTTTTTTGGATATCATGGGGAAGAGTTAGGATCTCAGGTTTTTTGGATATCATGGAGAAAGAGTTAGGATCTCAGGTTTTTGGATATCATGGAGAAGAGTTAGGATCTCAGGTTTTTGGATATCATGGAGAGGAGTTAGGATCTTAGGTTTTTGGATATCATGGAGAAGAGTTAGGATCTCAGGTTTTTTGGATATCATGGAGAAGAGTTAGGATCTCAGGTTTTTGGATATCATGGAGAAGAGTTAGGATCTCAGGTTTTTTGAATATCATGGAAAAGAGTTAGGATCTCAGGTTTCTTGGATATCATGGAGAAGAGATAGGATCTCAGCTTTTTGGATATCATGGGGAAGAGTTAGGATCTCAGGTTTTTGGATATCATGGAGAAGAGATAGGATCTCAGGTTTTTTGGATATCATGAAGAAGAGTTAGGATCTCAGTTTTTTGGGATATCATGGGGAAGAGTTAGGATCTCAGATTTTTTGGATATCATGGAGAAGAGTTAGGATCTCAGGTTTTTGGATATCATGGAGAAGAGTTAGGATCTCAGGTTTTTTGGATATCATGGGGAAGAGTTAGGATCTCAGGTTTTATGGATATCATGGGGAAGAGTTAGGATCTCAGGTTTTTTGGATATCATGGGGAAGAATTAGGATCTCAGGTTTTTTGGATATCATGGGGAAGAATTAGGATCTCAGGTTTTTTGGATATCATGGGGAAGAGTTAGGATCTCAGGTTTTATGGATATCATGGGGAAGAGTTAGGATCTCAGGTTTTTTGGATATCATGGGGAAGAATTAGGATCTCAGGTTTTTTGGATATCATGGGGAAGAGTTAGGATCTCAGGTTTTATGAATATCATGGGGAAGAGTTAGGATCTCAGGTTTTTTGGATATCATGGAGAAGAGTTAGGATCTCTGGTTTTTCGGATATCATAAAGAAGGGTTAGGATCTCAGGTTTTTGTCGTTGTTTGTGTCCCTGTCAAATAGGTTTCCCCTCCCAACATACATGGTCATTATGACAGGTAGTGAGGGAGGAAATCTACTCAATAGGGACACAGACAGCAATAGAAATCTGATAGAGGATAGGTTATGGTTTTTCCCAATCCTTGAATCTTACATATAGTGTACTGTATAATATATTAGCTGAAAATGGGTTATCAGCATAGAATATTATTTGCTATAACCTTTCAGAATGAATAGTCCAATTTTTGCAAAAGTCCACTTCTACCTAGTATGTGTATGAATGTACAGTAGGGACCTTAGATTGTGCGCCACTTGAGGGTTAGGGACTGATGTGAATGTACAATATATGTAAAGTGTTGCCTAAATTGACAGCGCTATATAAGTACTTGTAATAATAATAATAATAATAATATCTGGCTCATGTTCAAAGTGTCTCGTGGACTTAAAACATGTGGAATATTATCGCTCATTACATCACCTCAGGGTCTTTCCAGCAACTGGTTGATCTGTTTATACAGTAAATGCTCAGGATAATCAGTGAACCTGTATAGGATAGAATAAATATTATTTCTCTGATCCAAGAAGGCCAGCATTATATAAACCTGAGCAAAGTTTTTTGTGTGGTCTTTTCCAGAAAGGAAAGATAATAACAATTTATAAAGGATGACCCATCAAAAACAGGTAATCTGTATGACTGCCTTCCAATATTTCTTATTTATACATACACTATATAATTAATTCCCCTTAAATAGACTTATAGGTCTAGATGGAGCCTTGTGATTGGCCATTTGATCCTTATTCCATATTATGGAATGTCCTTATTCTCTTGGATACGCTAGCAGTGAGATCTTCCTTACTGCCCATCTTCTACATGGCCACCCTTGCGGGTTCCAGCTCCTAATCTTGTATTCTACAATTTAAAAAAAAAAATCCAGTGGGGAGAATGGGATCCCCTCTTGGAGGACATAGGGAGTAGGTAATCAAACCATGTGTGTACAGCCCAATGAAGAGCGATCCTGTGTCAGGATCTGTCTACAGGAGGGGGAGAGCACAGCACACCTCCTCTGGCTCTGTAGCAATTCCCGCCTGTAAAATTTTGGAGGGGTAGGGGGTGTCGAACATACAGGCGGGGAATTGTCCTGGACCACTCATTTGTGCTTAGGTTCAGATGAGGAGGTTTGTGGAGGAGGGGAGAAGGGGGGGCTATAGGTGCTGGGAAAGGTAACGTGGGGGGGGGGGATTTCTGCAGCAAGGAGGAGGAATGGGGGGATATGTGCTAGGAGGGGGGATTTGTGCTAGGAGAGGCTGGGGGGATTTTGGTTAAGAGGGGGAATGGGGGGGATTTGACCCCCTGTACCTTGCCCTACTAATCCCTGTGCACTGCTCTTCTGACCCCCTGTCCTCTGCCCTGCTGACCCCATCTTCCATCCTGCTTATCCCCCTGTCCTCTGTCCTGCTGACCCTCTGTACACTGCCCAGCTGAATCCCTGTACACTGCCCTGCTGACCCCTGTACACTGCCCTACTGACCCCCTGTACACTGCCCTACTGACCCCCTGTACACTGCCCTACTGACCCCCTGTACACTGCCCTACTGACCCCGTCCTTCGTTCTGCTGACCCCTGTATACTGCCCTACTGACCCTCTATCTGGCAGACCCCTGTACACTGCCCTACTGACTCCTGTACACTGCCCCACTGATCTTGCATCCTCTGGCCCCCTGACATTTTTTTACTGCACCCCCACATCAGACAGGCTAGATTCGGCCCTGCTTCCTCCTACAGAGGCTGATGATGAAGCACTATTCTTCCCATTGATAAAAGCGATTGGGCACTAATTCTCTCACTGACAATCAACAGAAGTATCATGAATGATACTGTCAAGCCTTAGAGGGAGAGTAAAAAAAAAAATTTGTTTAGGGAATCCTCAGCATGCCAGGCTTCAAGACAAAGTGCCCTAATCATGTGAACAGACATTAAGCCCCTGCGAATCACAAGCTTGTGTGCTGGTAATAGACCATCAAATCTGTAACACAGTGCTGTAGACATTTGCATCAGTTTTCAAGAAAATACACATCAAAGGGAAAACGTTCCTTAACATTGTCAGGAGGGAACCATAATTCCACAGGTTGCTTCCAGTCCTCATAAAGAAATTATTTGCATACACAATGCAATGGGAAGATCTTCATAGCCACAGCTCTATAATACCTAATGCTTGAAACGGTAGGCTGATCCTCTAGCTTCAGGGCAGAGCTCACTGAATCAAAAAAAGAATCAAGACCCTCTTGTTAAATTAGAGTCATATGGGACTTGTGAAACACAGTCTCTTCAGGAGAAGGCTACAAGGGCTTTAAATCCCGAGGCCACATTATTTCGGATTAGTTTAAATTTGTTACTATTGTAATGTGGAAATTCACATATATCCGATTCTCCGAAAACTCAAAAATTTCAATTCGGAACTAAAAGAACCACACATGTCTAACACACATGCACTGGGACCAGTTTAGGTAGCTTAACTTGCTGGCATGCATTGTGGAAAAGAAGCCGAGCGCCTAGAAAAACCTCATATAAACAGAGGAAGAATGAATCCATGCAGCTAATGTCACAAGGGGGGAATTAAACTCATGAGCCCAGTGCTGCAGCTGTTAAGAACTGTCCTGTAGGGCTCAGGGGCAGACTGACAACTCATGGGGCCCCCGGGTAATAGGGGATCATGGGGCCCCTGTGTCCTTGCCCAAACTCAAAAACGCCTATGAAAAAGGTACCAGGGGCATCTCATGGGGCCCCCTACTGACCCCGGGTCCTTGGGCAGCGCCCCAGTTTCCAAATGGTCAGTCCGCCCCTGGTAGGGCTGCATTACATACAGTATATAATCATTTGTCTTCTATATGTACTCCTACAATTTGGTTATAATATTAACTTGAGGATAAGGAAAGATAAACTTATCTTCTGGAAGGCTCCTCCCATCACAGAAAGTGATTGATTTACTCAGTTTCTTGGCAATACCAGGAACAGGAGGATAAAGACGCAGACTCTCCTTAATGCACATAGTTGTGTAGGGTATCTTTCCGAGGTCGTCCCTAGTACCAAATGAAACAATAAATATGTCGATTTTTAACTTTTGATGTGCAATACATAACCCAGAAGAACAGAGATTCACAGGAAATCACATCAATTGCAGCCGTGGATTGCCTAACGCCTCAATCTCTAGGAACAACCATACACATTGGGCTCCAGTTTTCCTATATGCTTCATTGATATCTTTTCAAAAATGTATGCAAGATTAAGCAAAAATGGACCATTCAATGTGCGGACTTAATGGTTATAATTCAGTCTGTCGAGAGGCCCTACTGTTTACAAGGAAGCAAGTTTCCAGTAAATTCTTTGCATTGTCTCTGGAAACAGGTCAACAAGTCATTCTTTTCTGATGGCTTCCACAGTACAATTGTTGGACCAGATCGTTTTATTTTTTTTTTTTGCTGGGCAGAATAAAAATGTAAAATGCAGCAAAAAACGCACTACCATGTATTTCCGCAGCTTCTCCATTGAACTCTATTGTAGCAAAAATGCTGCTTTTTGCTTTTAAAAAAGTCCCCAACCCTTTCCAAAAACGCAGCAGCTCAAAGAAAGCATAGATGTGAACATGTTCCATAGGAAACCATGTTAAATGGACATTAGTGTGTTTCTGCAAATGCAAAAATCTCTAAAAAAATCGCATTGGTGTGAATGTAGTTTTAGATTGCCATCACCATACAGTTGTTCTCATTGGCTTTCCGCTCCTTCTCATTGCTGCTTGTGCTGCTCTTACCCTCTCCCAGTCTGGGTGTTACTGTGCAGGAAATGACTGGAGACCAATGTCAAGACAGATTCTGGTACATATTCTAGTTCAATATTAAAATACTGTACAGCAACAAATTTTTAAAGGAATACACAACTACACTAAATTGTGTTTTTTTTTTATATCTGACTGGAGTTCAGTGACTCAGTGGACAGTAATGAGTTTTCTTAAATATACAGTGGGGATCAAAAGTTTGGGCACCCCAGCTAAAAATTTGTATTAATGTGCATAAAGAAGCCAAGGAAAGATGGAAAAATCTCCAAAAGGCATCAAATTACAGATTAGACATTCTTATAATATGTCAACAAAAGTTAAATTTTATTTCCATCATTTACACTTTCAAAATAACCGAAAACAAAAAAATGGCGTCTGCAAAAGTTTGGGCACCCTGCAGAGTTTTAATATCTTGTACTTTGGCAAGTATCACAGCTTGTAAACGCTTTTTGTAGCCAGCCAAGAGTCTTTCAATTCTTGTTTGAGGTATCTTTGCCCATTCTTCCTTACAAAAGTCTTTCAGTTCTTTGAGATTTCTGGGCTGTCTGTCACTCACTGCTCTTTTAAGGTCTATCCATAGATTTTCAATTATGTTGAGGTCAGGAGATTGCGAAGGCCATGGCAAAACCTTCAGTTTACGCCTCTTGATGTAATCCCCCGTGGATTTCAAAGTGTGTTTAGGATCATTATCCATTTGTAGAAGCCATCCTCTCTTTAACTTCAGCTTTTTCACAGATGGCATCAAATTACCATCCAAAATTTGCTGAAATTTTATTGAATCCATTTTTCCTTCTACTCGTGAGATGTTCCCTGTGCCACTGGCTGCAACACAACCCCAAAGCATGATTGATCCAACCCCATGCTTAACAGTTGGACAGAGGTTCTTTTCATTAAATTCTGTGCCCCTTCTTCTCCAAACGTACAGTGGGGCAAAAAAGTATTTAGTCCGCCACCAATTGTGCAAGTTCTCCCACTTACAGAGATGAGAGAGGCCTGTAATTGGCATCATAGGTAGACCTCAACTATGAGAGACAAAATGAGAAAACAAATCCAGACAATCACATTGGCTGATTTGGAAAGAATTTATTTGCAAATTATGGTGGAAAATAAGTATTTGGTCACCTACAAACAAGCAAGATTTCTGGCTCTCACAGACCTGTACCTTCTTCTTTAAGAGGATCCTCTGTCCTGCACTCATTACCTGTATCAATGGCACCTGTTTGAACTTGTTATCAGTATAAAAGACACCTGTCCACAACCTCAAACAGGCACACTCCAAACTCCACTATGGTGAAGACCAAAGAGCTGTCGAAGGACACCAGAAACAAAATTGTAGAGCTGCACCAGGCTGGAAAGACTGAATCTGCAATAGGCAAGCAGCTTGGTGTGAACAAATCAACTGTGGGAGCAATAATTAGAAAATGGAAGACATACAAGACCACTGATAATCTCCCCTCAATCTGGGGCTCCACGCAAGATCTCACCCCGTGGGGTCAAAATGATCACAAGAACGGTGAGCAAAAATCTCAGGACCACACGGGGGGACCTAGTGAATGACCTGCAGAGAGCTGGGACCAACTTAACAAAGGCTACCATCAGTAACACACTACGCCGCCAGGGACTCAGATCCTGCAGTGCCAGACGTGTCCCCCTGCTTAAGCCAGTACATGTCCGGGCCCGTCTGAAGTTTGCTAGAGAGCATTTGGATGATCCAAAAGAGGATTGGGAGAATGTCATATGGTCAGATGATACCAAAATAGAACTGTTTGGTAGAAACACAACTCGGCCTCTCTCATCTTTTTAAGTGGGAGAACTTGCACAATGGGTGGCTGACTAAATACTTTTTTGCCCCACTGTACCTTTGCTCATTCCGGCCAAAAAGTTCAATTTTAACCTCATCGGTCCACAGAACTTGTTTCCAAAATGCATCAGGCTTGTCTATATGTTCATTTGCAAAGTTCAAACGATGATTTTTGTGGTGAGGACGTAGAAGAGGTTTTCTTCTGATGACTCTTCCATGAAGACCATATTTGTACAAGTATCTCTTTATAGTGGAATAGTGTACCACAACTCCAGTGTCTGCCAGATCTTTCTGGAGGGATCGTGCAGTCAAACGTGGGTTTTGAATTGTTTTTCTCACAATCCTGCGAGCTGTTCTGTCTGATATTTTTCTTGGTCTTCCAGATCTTGCTTTAACTTCCACTGTTCCTGATGACTGCCATTTCTTAATTACATTCCGAACAGAGGATATTGACATCTGAAAACGCTTTGCTATCTTCTTATAGCCTTCTCCAGCTTTGTGAGCGTCAACTATTTTCAGTTTCAGTTTTCTAGACAACTGCTTAGAAGAACCCATGGTGCTGATTGTTGGGGCAAGGTCAGATGAGTCTGGGCATTTAAAACCTTTGAGCTTGACATCACCTGGTCTTCCCAGACGATGATTGAGAACAATCCATGACACTGGCAGGTCTCAGCTTTGCAAAGGGGGCAGTGCATGCTATAAATTCTGCAGGGTGCCCAAACTTTTGCAGATGCCATTTTTTTGTTTTCTGTTATTTTGAAAGTGTAAATGATGGAAAAAAAAATCTAACTTTTCTTGACATATTATAAGAATGTCTAATCTGTAATTTGATGCCTTTTGGAGATTTTTCCATCTTTCCTTGGCTTCTTTATGCACATTAATACAAATTTTTAGCTGGGGTGCCCAAACTTTCGATCCCCACTGTAGCTGTACTCTAGCAGCTTATAGTAATAAAAATCATTTATTAGAGCCGATTCTTACCATTCCATGGTGTCCCGATCTCCCAGTAACTCTCTGATTTCCTCCCGACATTTTTCTTGGTGTTCGGGGTATTTGGCCATACAGTAGAATATCCAGGAGATCCCGCTGGCTGTTGTATCATGTCCCTCAAACATGAACGTGTCCACCTCAGCACGCAGGTCCTTATCAGACAAGCCTTGACCGTTCTCATCCTAAATACACACAACTAATAAATCATTTATTTACATTTGAGTTTCCAAGTCTTGCCTAGCATGAAGAAGCAGATTGCGGAATGATTAAAGTTTATTTTTTTTCCACATTTTATTGAGTTTTTCTCAGGGCTTTTTTTCAGTGGGATTGTGGAGGAACGCAGTTCCAGCACCTCCAGCACTGAATGTATGTAATGGCAAGGGGTGCTGGAGTGTGATGGAGGATCTATTGATTCTGATTCTTGGGGGGGGAATATATTGTTCATGGGGGGATCTATGTTTGCCAAGAGGTCTATTGTTGTTGCTGGGGGATCTATTATTGCTGGGAGTTGGTTTTATGTTGTTGAGGGGTCAGTTGTTTCTGGGAGGAATCTACTGTTGAGGGAGGGGTCTATTGTCCCTGGCTGCTGGAGGGTCCATTGATGCTTGTTGCAGAGACATATGTTGTTGCTGCAGGGGTCTAGTGGTATCTAGTGGGGTGGTATTTTGTTGCAGGTGATCCATTGTGGGTGTATTTTTGCTGGCTGCAGGAGATCTATTTTACTGCTTTTCTTGCCACCATTAACAATTTCCATACAAATTACCTAGCACCACAAAATTATACTTCATTCTGTGTACTCTAAAAAGGGTGGTACGGGAAGGTGGGCGGAGGGTGGAACCAAAGAATGATATTTGGAGGTGGGTATAGAGCAGAGATAAGGGGTGACTGGGAAAGGAGAAGTTCCAGCACCTATTCTGAAGGGCAAGTTCCAGCACCTATTCTGAAGGGCGAGTTCCAGCACCTATTCTGAAGGGCGAGTTCCAGCACTTATTCTGAAGGGCGAGTCCCAGCACCTATTCTGAAGGGTGAGTTCCAGCACGTATTCCCAAGGGTGAATTCCAGCATCTATTCCCAAGGATGAATTCCAGCACCTATTCTAAAGGGCGAGTTCCAGCACCTATTCTCAAGGGCGAGTTCCAGCACCTATTCTCAAAAGCGAGTTCCAGCACCTATTCTCAAGGGCGGGTTCCAGCACCTATTCTCAAGAGCGGGTTCCAGCACCTATTCTGAAGGGTGAGTTCCAGCACCAATTCTGAAGGGCGAGTTTCAGCTCCTATTCTCAAGGGGCGAGTTCCAGCACCTATGCTCAAGGGCGAGTTCCAGCACCTGTTCTCAAGAGCGAGTTCCAGCACCTATTCTCAAGGGCGAGTTCCAGCAGCTATTCTCAAGGGCGAGTTCCAGCAGCTATTCTCAAGGGCGAGTTCCAGCAGCATTATTCCCAAGCGTGAGTTCTAGCACCTATTCTCAAGGGCGAGTTCCAGCACCTATTCTCAAGAGCGAGTTCCAGCACCTATTCTCAAGAGCGAGTTCCAGCACCTATTCTCTCAGAAAAAAAAAGCTCTAGTTTTTTCTTCTTTATTCTATATGCATTTGCATCTGTTTTCCTCCATCAATGTGCCTTTCAACAAAAATTTAATTAATTGACCCGTAATAAACTTGTAAGTAAATCAATGCAGTGCATGCAGAAGCATAAAGTTGTTCAACAATGTGAATAATACCATTTATAAACACTACATTTATTTATTTGCACAATAAAATGAAGAAGGGGCAGCAATGCAAGCCAATGTGAACAACTGCACTGCACTGGGCTGGCAATCTAACACAGGGAGTGTGCAGACAAGAGCGTAGTGCACAGGAATGGCCTAATCTGAATGCTGCTGCTCCTTCACTATCCAATCAGAATCAAGGACAAGTTCTCAACTAAGCAATATTACTTTAACTGTAATACAGACACCTGAGGTGGGGTCCTGGGTATGCTGTCTGGATCACAAGGCTACAAACCTATTGGCAGGCAAGACATGTACCGTAATTTTAACTGTGAATATAGCTGTTTACTGGCCTCGATTTTGAAGGTAATATGATTCTGATTCCTACATGTAACTTAGATCTAACATCATACTACTTTGAACATTTTACCTTTGCACACAGGAGAATATCAAGAAAATCAAGATGTCTTTTTTGGCTGATTTTGTTCAACTCCTTCTCACATTTTAGCAATTCTTTTCTCTGTTTGATTACTTTATCTAAAATGCAAATGAAAAATTAGTCTAGTTTTTTTTTTTTACTGTGAAACTATAGTGTGCTGTGCAGCTGCCCATTTTTTTTCTCTGTTCTCTATCGCTTACCATACAATACCAGCGCTAAACCAGCCAAGATCATCAAAAAGGTAAATTAGTGACCTGGGAGTTTTGATAAGCACCAGCTATGACAGTTACATAGTTAATCTGGCTGAAAAAAGACAAAAGTCCATCCAGTTCAACCATAAAAAAAAAAAAAAAAAGGTATAATCCTATAACCACGGTTGATCCAGTGGAAGGCAAAACAACCCCAGCAAAGCATGATCCAATTTGCTCCTGCAGGGAGAAAAATTCCTTCCTGATCCCCCGAGAGGCAATCAGATATTCCCTGGATCAATTTTACCTATAAATGACCCTATTGACTTTACCAGCATCACTAACACAATTTTATGTCACCACTACCAATTAAGCCAATCCCACGCATCATCTGTTAAACAACAAGACATGCCTATTGAAGAATGATCCCTCTACAAACCAGATCGCATTTTGTCCACAAGGCCACCCCTGGACCTCCATGGGCCCTGTAGCAATTTTTGACATTTTCAAATGTGCAACAGTATTGCCCTCTCTATGCCATAACTGGCCTCTTCAGACACATGAGATTTCATTTAAACACACACATACATACAATTGTGTTCAAAATAATAGCAGTCAGACATCACTAACCTGATCAATCACTGTTTTTGGTAGACGTGATATTTCTACATGGCAAATAATTTATTAGCAGGTGTAGTAGAGTAATAGAAATCCAACAGACCCAACAGTCATGACATGCATGCTGCTGATTCTGTGTAATTGAATCACTCATTGAAAGGAGCATGTTCAAAATAATAGCAGTGTGAAGTTCTATTAGTGAGGTCATTCATTCTTTGAAAAACAGGTGGCAATTATTGCTCTCTTATTTAAGGAAGGAAGGCAGCAAATGTTGTACATGCTGGTTACAGTGCATTTCTCTCTGAAATTCTGAGGAAAATGGGTCGTTCCAGACATTGTTCAGAAGAACAGCGTACCTTGATTAAAAAGTTGATTGGAGAGGGGAAAACATATAAAGAAGTACAGAAAATGATAGGCTGCTCAGCTAAAATGATCGGAAATGCTTTAAAATGGCAACCAAAACCTGAAAGACGTGGGAGAAAGCGAAAAACTACCATTCGAATGGATAGAAGAATAGCCAAAATGGCAAGGACTCAGCCAACAATCAGCTCCAGGAAGGTCAAAGAAGGTCTAAAGTTCCCTGTGAGTACTGTTACAATTAGAAGACGCCTATGTGAAGCCAAGCTATCTGCAAGAAGCCCCCGCAAAGTCCCACTGTTGAAAAAAAAGACGTGCTGAAGAGGTTACAATTTGCCAAAGAGCACATTGACTGGCCTAAAGAGAAATGGTGCAACATTTTGTGGACTGATGAAAGTAAGATTGTTCTTTTTGGGTCTAGTGGCCGGAGACAGTTTGTCAGACGACCCCCAAACACTGAATTCAAGCCACAGTACACTGTGAAGACAGTGAAGCATGGTGGTGCAAGCATCATGATATGGGGATGTTTCTCATACTACGGTGTTGGGCCTATTTATCGCATACCAGGGATCATGGATCAGTTTGAATACATCAGAATACTTGAAGAGGTCATGCTGCCTTATGCTGAAGAGGAAATGCCCTTGAAATGGGTGTTCCAACAAGACAACGACCCCAAACACACCAGTAAACGTGCAACATCTTGGTTCCAGACCAACAAGATTGACGTTATGGAGTGGCCAGCCCAATCCCTGGATCTTAATCCAATAGAAAACTTGTGGGGTGACATCAAAAATGCAGTTTCTGAGGCAAAACAAAGAAATAGAGAAGAACTGTGGAATGTAGTCCAATCATCCTGGGCTGGAATACCTGATCACAGGGGCCAGAAGTTGGTTGACTCCATGCAACACAGATGTACAGCAGTTCTCAGAAACAGTGCTTATACAACCAAATATTCATTAAGTGATTCAAAGGAAAGCAAAATCTTCAAACATTTTTCAGTTTATATAGTGAATGTTTGAGTTTGTAAAGAAGAATACAAACACTGCTATTTTTTTGAACAGTCTAATATTCACTGTTTTTCAATTTTTTAGAGGAACAACACAAATTTGATCTATTTTTCTTCATGTTTTGATTTGGAATAGAATGTGTAGTGTTCCCAACGCATTTGTGTGTATGGAAATAAAAGCTATTAGAAGGATTTTGAGCTTTATTTACTTTTTTCAACACACTGCTATTATTTTGAACACAACTGTATATAAAGATGTACATACAAAATCCCACCTGTATGTTGATGCGCTATCCTTTGTGCCTTTCGAAAGCGTAATCCCTGGGGGCTGAGATAGTATATGAAGTCATTATGATAGATGAAGTTACGGAACCTGTGATCGACCTGGTAGGACAGCTGATAAACTGCTTTAATGTAGTCATTGTCACTTAAAAAAAGGGAAAAAGAAGAAATACAATTAACACCACTTAAATTGCTTGTGCTAAAACCAGTTGACAGGCGTTGACATGTATTTTTTTTTTTCTTGGAACACATGCAATGATGTGGGCTGGCAGGAGCCAAAATACTTTTCTAGTGGGGTGGGGCTGCATTTAAATGTAGCATGTTCCCTATAACCCAGTGCACCCCAACACAACCTATTGGTGTGAACTGGGCATATTGAAATGATGGATTTCAGCTTGTTACTGCATTGGAACTGTAACAGAAGCTTAAATTCTGACTACAAACCAGCTTTTGAACACAATGCAGTTTGACAGAACAGGAGATCTACATACTACAAAACATCTAATACATAACAATGAACACAACCTTTAAATATGTGAGTTTACTGGTAATTTACAAGAACACTTCCTTTTTTGTCATTCTGCTATAGGACTTGCATGCTCCCAATACAGGGGAACCCAAGGCAGGAAGAGATGGCGTAGAACAGAGCGTTTGACCTACCACCTAAGGACCACAAAACTCCACTCTCAGCATCTCCTTACCACTGTGATTGAAATCCTTTGGCCGTTAGAATGGTTGTAAACCCTTGCATTTGCCTAGTGAAGTGACTGACCTCAGGTGATACACAGATGAAACAAATCCTCCTACATAAGTTGTACCTGTTTATCTTCAATTTCTCTTCTCTACATCTGTTCAAAGTGCATAATTTATAAAGCTTGTCTGAAGCTTCAGAAAACAAGGGGGGCAGAGAGCTGAAATTATAAACCTCAGAGTTCAGAGAACTGATTGGAGGAAAGGGACACACACCCCTCCACACAGCTTACAGGAACAGAGCTAAGGTCGCCAATCTGCTGGAGCTCCCTCCCCTGTCACCATTTTCTCTTGGTTTCAAGAAAATTTGTCTAGAAGTGACTTATGTTGATAGAATGAGGAAGGCATAAATGACACTTAGTGCTCTTAACTGAGACAACGACACATTATAGAGGGATATCCTTTGTTCATATTTCATGTCTGAGGCTTACAACCACTTTAAACTCTTTAGAAGTTATCTGAGAAAAGTTATACAGCAAATTTATTTAAATCTTACAGGTGAGGGACTGAAGTCTTTAAAATTTGGTCCTACCTGTCTGTCTGGCAGTTGCTCTGATAACTGAAGGCACATTTCATGATCGTGTCCAGAGTCATGAGGCTGACATGATGGAAGAGTTCAACTGGCTTCTTATCTGGGATGAGCTGCTCCCATTTATCCTGAAACCAGGTAAAACAGTTTTACAAGGGTTGTGTTCTCCTAAATCAGGGGTCTTCATACTTTCTAAACAAAGGGCAAGTTTCTTGTCCTTCAGACTTTAGGGGGGCCAGACTTTGGCCAATGGAAATAGAAATTGTCCTGGCATCAATGGGAGTTACAGTGCATCTCTGGCATTAGGGGGAGGAATAGTGCACCTTCATTAACGTCAGTGGGAGTAATAGTGCCCCATCATTGGTGTCAGTGGGCGTAATAGTGCCCCATCATTGGTGTCAATGTGAGGAATAGTGCCCCATCATTGGTGTCAGTGGGAGGAATAGTGTGCCGTCATTGGTATCAGTGTGAGGAATAGTGCCCCATTGTTGGTATCAGTGGGAGGAATAGTGTCCCATTATTGGTATCAGTGGGAGGAATAGTGCCCCATCATTGGTGTCAGTGGGAGGATTAGTGTGCCGTCATTGACGTCAGTGGGAGCAATAGTGCCTCATCATTGACGTCAGTGGCAGGAAAATAGTTCCCCATCATTGGTGTCAGTGGGAGGGATAGTCCCCTATTGTTGGTGTCAGTGGGAGGAATAATACCCCATCATTGGTGTCAATGTCACTGTGAGACAAGCCATCCATTAATGGTACAGCACTGATACTAAGACAGCCCATACATTAATTATTGTTTTTGTTCAACCAGCAGGTTCAATGAAAGAGAAAAAAATCTGCATTCCCCCATCCACACATTCAAGGTAGATGGCAAACTGATACACTCCCACGGCTTCAACTATCACCTCTATGCCGATGACACACAAATTTACCTCTCCACCCCTCGCCTCATCCCCTCACTGTCCGCCTGCATCGCCTACCTCCTAAACGACATATCAGACTGGATGTCGCTCCATTTCCTCAAGTTAAACCTTTCCAAAACCAAGCTCCTAGTTTCCCCCCCAGCCCGCACCCCCCCCCCCATCCTCTCCATTACGACCAACAACGCCACCATCAATCCCACCCCACACGCCAAAGTCCTGGGTGTCATCCTGGACTCCAACCTTTCCTTCCAACCTCATGTCCAATCACTAGCAAATTCATGCAGGCTCCACCTCCGCAACATCTCCAAGATACACATGTTCCTCACCCCAGACACCACTAAACAACTCGTACACTCCCTCATCATCTCACGCCTGGACTACTGCAGCTCCCTTCTCACTGGCCTACCCAAACACATGCTATCCCCACTCCAGTCTATCCTGAACTCAGTGGCTAGACTCATGTACCTCACCAACCTCTCCACATCTGCCACCCCCCTCTGCCAATCCCTTCATTGGCTCCCGATTGCCCAATGCATTAAATTCAAATTACTAACTCTGACATACAAAGCCACTCATAACGCTGCTCCAAACTACCTCACTGACCTGATACCCAAATACCACCCTACCTGTGCCCTTCACTCCTCACAAGACCTCCTACTCTCTAGCTCCCTGGTCTCCTCCTCCCATGCCCGACTGCAGGACTTCTCCAGGACTTACCCCATCCTCTGGAACTCCCTACCCCAATCCATCAGACTGTCGCCTACCCTCCTCACCTTCAGGCGCACCCTGAAAACCCATCTCTTCAGGGAAGCCTACCCCATCCTCACCTAACAGCCATTCTCCTCCACTCCTCCTACCACTCCATCCCCCACAGCCACTTCCTCCTGTACCACCTTCCCCTCCCTCCTAGATTGTAAACTCGAGAGAGCAGGGCCCTCAAACCCCTCGTGTATTGTATTGTTACTGTATTGTCTTATGTACTGTCCCCCCACTCTAATGTACAGCGCTGAGCAAACCCTTTGGCGCTATATAAACACTGTAAAATAATAGTCCGTAGCACAATCATTTGGGAAAGACCAGAAACGCTGGTTGTATGGATCTACTTGTATACAACTGGCCTGCCCATACAGGGATTGAAATTTGGCTGGTCCCTGTTGTTACTCTTTTCTACAGACCTTCATGTTCCACCAGGTGATTCCACCAGGATTTTGTACAACACTCAACCCCCAATCCTGCAATTTACTTGCTTTTTCCCAGTACTGTACAATGGCATGCATATTGTATGAAAAGTTGTAATGAACTTTAAATCAAGGGTTTTTTTTGGATGATACTTAATGAAAAGATGCCCCCTATGAGAAAGAATGGTCTTCATGGATCCAACATTACGTATGGCTAGACTTTGATCGCCACTTATTAAATCTTTAAATTACCAGCTCAAACTGTCTCCCCAGCCACAGATCCTCAGCCCCTTCCCATCCCCTCCACTTTCCTTCTATCCCTCATGGCATGTCTTAGCTCTTCACATCCAACATAGAACTTGATAAATACAAGCAATTTTTGGTTTGATTACTAATGTATTTATAAACTAAGACCATGTACAAATTTCATTCTGCTGCTGTTAGATCTGGATGATGCCCACTTCCACTCAGCAATGTAATTTCCATGATGGCTCACCCATCTTTGTTATCTAACTGTAATCTTACTATATACTTCAATAAATAAATAGGAACAGAAAACATCCCATGAACCAATCCTGTTATGTCTACTGCAGGAAAAGTCATGTAGGTCATGTATATTAATGCATATTATCTTTGAATAAAAATACATTTATAAATGTCTGACTGTAGCTTGTATGTAAAAACTGAACACCTCAATGATTTAATCTGACCATTGAATGACAAAAAAATCTATTACCAGCATGATCTTAGTGCAGTCAGCCATTAATCGAACGTAGGGCTTTAGGACATCATAGTGAAATCCAGGAGTCAGAAGCCTGCGATGCTGGAACCACTTTGGCCCGGATAACACCAATAGTCCTTCACCTGGTTCAATAACATTAACTTTAGAAAGCTGTTAAACCAGACAGGCAAGTCAAATAACTAAATTGGCCTGTAGATCTGTCAGTAACATTTTACTTTTTTTAATAAACTTTTCTGGAGAACTACCCTGACTGCCAGTGAACTCCAAAGGGACTTTCCACAGTTTACTTAACCACTTCCAGTCCGGACACTTTTACCCCTTTCCTGTCCAGGCCAATTTTCAGCATTTAGCACTGGCACACTTTGAATGGCAATTGCGCGGTCATGCAACAGTGTACCCATATGAATTTTAAAGCATTTTTTTAGAGAGATAAAACTTTATTTTGGTGGTAATTATTCACCACTAGGATTTTTTTTTGCTATATAAATGAAAAAATCCCAAAATTTTGGAAAAAAACGCATTTTCTTAAAAAATTTTGCAAATAAATAATCTTTCTTCATAAATCTTGACCAAAATTTATTCAGTTATCTTTTTAGTAAAAAAATAACCCAAATTAGTATATAACCAAAAATGATAATTTTTCAAACTTTTTTTTACATTTTTATTTTATTTTTTTATATTATTATTTTTTTTTTAACATACTGTCACCCTAGCAGTACAGTGTCACCATAGTGACACTGTACTACTTGTGGGGGGGTGATGAAGATTTTTTTTTTTACACTGATTGCTTTTACACCCATAAAGGCTGTAAAAGCAATCATTTCTCATTCTTGCAGCCATTGAGAAATACTGTGTGAGCTGTGATTGGTCCCAGCTTGTCACATGGTACAAGGCTGTTGTGAATAGCCTTGTACCATGTAATCTCTGTGATCATTCACAGATTTCACACGTAGTAATAAATGATGTCAGAAGTGACATCTTGCTTACTACTATTCATGTGATCACTGATTGGCCAATCAATGATCACATGATCAGGACCTCACACAGAGGTCCCGTACAGTGATTGGTGTTCCGCTGTGTCCTCCGGACACAGAGGGCACCGGATTGTGGTGCCGCATGCTCCCAGGAAGCAGGCACAGGCTAAAATACTGGGCGCCGTTTATGAATGGCAACCCGCTCCTGCACTGCCCCTGTCCGGCCATTTATATACATGAGCCGGACTGGAAGTGGTTATTTAATAGAATACTGTGTACTTACATTTTCCCCACCCTGGGCCTGTATACCATGAACATAAAGTAGTTGTAAAGGCTGAAGGTTTTTTACCTTAATGCATTCTATGCATTAAGGTAAAAAAACCTTCTGTATGCAGCTCCCCCTAGTCCCTTCTTATACATAAATGACCTCGTTCTCGATCCAGTTCTGTGCACTACAGCAGCATCCCTCTCTGCTCTTTCTCTCCTCATCGGCTCGGAGACAGCAGTGGGAGCCATTGGCTCCCACTGCAGTCAATCACATCCAGTGAGGAGGTTGAGGGCAGGGTTGAGCCATACTCTGTGTGTCAAAGGACACACAGAGCTGGCTGGGGAGCAAGCATTCTTGCTATGGGGCACTCAAGGGGGGGAGGAGGATCCAAGAGGGTTGGCAGGGGACCACAGACGAGAAGGATCTGGGCTGCTCTAGATTGCACAGAGCGGCTAAGTATAACATGTTTATTATTTTAAAACAAACATATCAGAACCTTTACAATCACTTTAATTGCAAGCTGACTAGGACAAATCAAGTTGTGGCAAAGGTCACAAGTACTGAAAGTGAGGAAAAATCACAAATGAGGAGTAGAGGGGGAATCTTCCTAACAGGGAAGATAACAGGACACACAGAGAGGGGAAATCTTTTAAAGCTGGCTATTGATGAGTCAGTGGGTAGAATAAAAAAAACTGACCCAATTCCCCCATCCACACATTAAGGCTGGATTGAGGAATCCTATTGCTAAGTCATTGTATTCTGACAGTGGGGAGACTTCCCCACTATCAGAGTACACTCAGCACTGCAGGGCAGTTGAACAAATGTCAATCAGTAGATCAGCTTGTAGTTAGGTGCAGCATGATGCAAATAACCAAATTTGTATTGAAGGAATGGCCCAAACATACAAACAGCCCAGAGGGAAGGCCTCCAGCAGGGAACATTCACAGTTCTATGCAAATTTGCAGATTGGAGCAGATTCTGATGCACCGACAGCGTCTGTCTCTGAGGGCCGAGTGCAGCCTGGCCAGTCTGAACTCAATGGGGAGAATTCCGATTCAGAATGGTGTGTCCCTAGCTTTTTACTACTCGTCCTGAACCTTTCCCCGCTGCTATTCACTCTCCCTGACAGACGGGTGAAAAGTTCCTACACTATTCACTTGCAAAAAAAAATGCACACCAAAGCCTGGCGGCAGGCACTTTACCAGGGTCTGCTGACCCAAGATGGCCATCAGGGTCATTTGGATGCAGCGTAGCCAACTGAAACGCTGCCTAGGGGCCCAAGGAAACCATAGAGAAGTCAAGTTTCTCTTGATTTCCTCTCCAGAAGCAGTGCTGTTCCAGCCAAGAGCCATCTACAGCGAGAACAGAGACTGAACTTTCCTACAGACTTCTGTATAACTGCAGTGCACATACGTGGATCAAAATTCAGCTGGTCCCTGCTGAACCAGACAAATTTCAATCAGCCTATGGCCTATGAGAAGCTTAACAGTGGTCACAACAGCAATAAAAAAGACATGTTCAGATCCCTCCCCACTTTATCCAAAAACCAATATATAAAAAGTTTTAGGTTTAGATAAACTGTAACGTACATACCAATCCATGGGACAATAAACCTATAGGCTGCATCATCTTTAGGATCTGAAAAATGCAAAAAATGACAGAATGAGAAGTTTAGCATTGCATTTTATACAATTTTAATACTGATAGGGACAGATTTCCACCATTGGAGCCTTTAGGCACAATATCTTTGATACCCTCTTGTACCCTTGTAGGCAGGTGTAGATTGACCTCCCTACACAGGTGGCGCTGTGGCAGCCACCCTGTAATGACAGTGGAGGACAGGAGGAATGGCCTTTTCTCTTAGACCTCTGTATGTGTCATCGGGTGGGCTGCTGTCTAATTGGATGCTGCCACCCAGGATGACCCTTGCAGCCATCTTTAGTGAGGGCTTTTTTCCACTGCAGTTGGTGTGCATTTTGCATGTGGTTAGCTCAGGAACCTGCTTGACAGGGAGAGGTTCCAGAGGAAGAGGGACAATATAGAGACTGTCGTCAGAGCTTCTATAGGGGAACCTTTCCAATACTAGTTCTGCTGTATTTGCCTTCCAGCCATGACCTCTGTGCCAGGTGCTGGCGGTCTCTGTGCATTGCTCTCTGCAGGTACCACATAACCTCTTGTGAGTGTTGCTGCAAGCTCTAATCTGCTGCATAGACTCTGTTACTGTATGTTATTATATTATTATTACACAGGTTTTATATAATGCCAACAGTTTGCGCAGCACTTTACAAAATGAAGGTAGACATTACAGTTACAATACAATTTGGTACAAGAGGAAGCAGAGGGCCCTGCTCCTTTGAGCTTACAATCTAGGATATGTAGGAATGTTTTTGATAATACAATTTCTGCAACTTCAACCACTGTGAGTGCCACGCCTTCCCTAAGAGGTGCCTACCACCTAGACCCATACAGCCTACATTCTCAAAAGGTAAGTCCCACATCAAAAGGTATATTTACCTATATTAGTTTCTCTGACTCACCATTAATATAGGTGTGGATTATTAACCGAACATAATGGCATACAAAGAAAAAAGCAGTTGACAAGGACAGACTGCAAAAAAGTCGGTATTAAATAAATCCTAAACAGAGTAAAAAGTACATCAATATGAATGCAAAGAAGTATCTTTATTATAATCTCAAAGATCTGGAGAAGGATAGGCTCTTGCCAAGGTGAACACACGGTCTAACTAGTTTGTCAGCAAGGGTGGGGTGCAAAGACAGGGAGACCAAAATACTCGCTTGGATGGCCAGCACTGCAGCTGGAGAGAAAGTCAAGTGAAACTTGGCTTCTCTATGGCTTCCTTGGCCCCCTAGGTAGAATTTCAGTTGGCTACGCTTGGCAAATCCTAAGAGGGTAGTGCTACACGAGCAAACAAGTGATTTAAGGAAAGCTGTCTGTAGAGATCTTTGAGGCTCCATTCATACCTGAACAATTTGATGTGCAATTTGAAGCTTCACCAGAAGTGCTAGGATTTCCATGATATTGAGTGATGCCCATTCACACCTGAGCATAGTATCACTTGAAGCTCATTGCTTGAAAAGCAGTGCAGTAAGGCACTCTGGCAGCTCTCCGTTGCTGTGCAAACTAAGCCGCAATAAGAGCACCTTTTTCAAGCATTTTCTTGCCTAGTAACTTACTTTTCCCTGGCTATAAAAAAATTAATGACACCCATTTCAAGTGTGAATGGGGCCTTAGTGTGTATTCACACATTCACTTCCACAGCAGCACTCATTGCCATGTAAAGGCACTACTACTAGGTTCTACTATGTTGCATTGCGGTGATATGCCATTTATCTTTATTGGAACACCAAAACACATATAGAGTGTAAAGAAATAGACCATTGCTACAGTACACAAATCTTAAAGTAGAACTAAAGGCAAAAAGTTTTTTTAAACTATTTTTGGATAGACTAAGGGAGGGTTATAACTCATGTGAGGTTTTTTATTTTTTTTTTTGCCATCTGTGTTCCATTGGAGAATTTTCCCTTAACTTCCTGTTCCATAGCCAAAACAGGAAGTGAGTGAATCCTGAGTTGCCGCCAGGATTAGTGTCCCCATTGCAAGATTTCCCCCCTATTACTGTTTTAGTGTCAACAGAAAATCTATGATTTCACTTTCAATGATAATAGTAAAAAGGACAAATGAAGAGGGTGAATCCCCTTTACAAGGACATAGATGGTAATGAAAACCTGACAGGGGATCTAATCTCTCCACTCTATCCAAAACTAAAAAAAGAAAAGTTTTTCCTTTAGTTAACTTTTCATGCTATTTAGGCTGTAGTGCACTTGAATAATGCATGTCATTTCTTGTAAGTGTTGAGGTTTATTAAGGGACAGTTACAATTAGTCTCTCATATGACCCTTTTCCCAGTTTTATAACCTGTCCATATTAAGAACTGTATTCACCAATGAGCACAGCAGACACGTAGGTGGCCCACATTTTGTCCCATCAGTTGAGGTAGTCATCTCATATAAAGGAAATTTACACATTGTCACAAAATTGTAAGCCAGGTTAGAATCCATAACATAATAAAGTTTGGGTTTCTGTGTGATGATCCTAGCAGAAATGGAGCAAGGGGTAGGCTGTATGGCATACAAAGAAAAAAGCAGTTGACAAGAGCAGACTGCAAAAAAGTCATCAATAAGTAAATCCTAAGCAGTGTAAAAAGTACATCAATGTGAATGCAAAGAAGAATCTTTATTATAATCTCAAAGATCCTGGGAGGGTAGGCTCTTGCCAAGGTGAACACACAGTCAATGACATATATAGTCCACATCATAGACGTAGCTGAATTACATAAAGCAATTATAGGCTTGGAAACCATGATATATTGAACCTATTATTATTCCTACTGTGAGGATAATGACAATGAATAGCTGCTATGAAAAATTCAAAAGTTCTCACTGAGTATAATTAGGATATTACATCCTCCTGGTTTTGGTATTCTACTGACTTCCAGTGATGGCATGAACAGTGAAATAAATGTTATCTCACCACTTGAAAATATTCATCAACCATAGGAGATATTGTAGTGGTGATGATGAAGTAACAAATAGTGTCAGTCCTGAAAGATCAAAAAATGTGGTATACACAGCTAAGGAATCTCCATCTAAATTTTTAAGTACTTGGCTTTGCTGGGTTAATTTCAAATCTACTGACACTTACCGTGCAATAGTCGACTAACAACATAATCTATTAATCATTAACAAATTTACAGACTTTGACAATTTTTAGTGGCTCGAGCAATACATTACCCTCTACTTTTTACTTATGATACATATGCCCCTGTCCACAACCAAGTAAATCCACTTATACTGCAAAACTCTACCTCTTGGGATTGCGCAGATTGGAAGGGGTGGGGGGCAGGGGTTAGGGCTGACCAGACCCATAAGGTTTCTTTACTCACTACCTTAACTCCCTCCTCACTTCTGTTCTGATGAGAGATGCTCCTACCCCTCATATTATTATGTTTTTCTTTTTTTTTCTCTCCCCCTACCTTTCTTTTTCACACTTGAAATGGGTGTCATTAATTTTTTTTATAGCCAGGGAAAAGTAAGTTACTAGGCAAGAAAATGCTTGAAAAAGCTGATCCTATTGAGGCTTAGTGTCAGGGCCCAGACTTGAATCTGGGCCTTCTGTGGTGGGAGGCAATGTTTCTTCTCACTGAGCCACCTGGAATGCTGGACAGCTCCCTTGACAATTCTTTGGATGATCCTGCCTTGGCCCTGCTTGTCTTGAACCTTGAACTCCTTGCTCCTCCCATGAACTTCCTATAAAGGCCATGTCCTTGCAATTCTTCCTTGCCAGATTATTGTGCCTTCCAGTCAATATCCCGCTTCTCTGTCCTGCTGCCGTATACATCTTCGCTACCGACCTTTGGCTTTGTTACTGACTATGATTTCGTCTCATCCTCATCTGCTACCACTTGTGACCGACCCTTGGCTTGTGACTGACTCCGCTACTGTCTGATCCCTAAACTGTTTTATCCGCTATCGGTTTCCAGCTGGTTCATTCCCTGGTGGGGTGAGCCTGAGATCTGCGACCTGGTATTAACACGCAGCCAATTCCATCTCCACCATTAGGAGCTCTGGGGAAAATCGGTTAATACTTAGACCCCGCACCTCAGGTGAGCCTGTATCATTCCCAGGGTGATCCACTGGTGTACCAATCCTGCTGGTTTCAGGTAAGCCTTACAACTGCTGTAGCAATTGGTCTCTGAACCTGACCTTACACCGTTTGCACAGCAACGGGGAGCTGCCAGAGTGCCTTACTGCACTACTTTTCAAGCAATGAGCTTCAAGTGATACTATGCTCAGGTGTGAATAGGCATCACTCAATATCATGGAAATCCTAGCACTTCTGGTGAAGCTTTAAATTGTGCATCAAATTGTTCAGGTATGAATGGAGCCTAAAAGATCTCTACAGACAGCTTTCCTTAGATCAGTTGTTGCTCGTGTAGCACTACCCTCTTAGGATTTGCCAAGCGTAGCCAACTGAAATTCTACCTAGGGGGCCAAGGAAACCATAGAGAAGTTTCACTTGACTTTCTCTCCAGCTGCAGTACTGGCCAGCCAAGCAAGTATTTTTGGTCTCCCTGTCTTTGTACCCCACTCTAAAAGCCCAACCCCTGCTGACATCACAATACCCCTCTAACTAGAGGAAATTGTCACCAGAAAATAGACTCGTACAGATTACACTGAACTGATACTTTGTTTATATTGAAGTTAACTGTGAGCACAGTAGAACAGTGTAAAGCAATGTGTATGCCCGTAGTAGCAGTTATCACTCTTAGCAGCTGTAAAAGAAGGAACAACATATACATCAAAATCTCAATCAGTGTTGAAAGTCCTGCTACATGGAATTTAACCCAAAGCCTCAAGTTTGAGGTGTTTTTGGTCCCCAGTGAGCAAGGGAAGCTATTAAAAGGTAAAGCTAGCTCACTTCAGGCCATCAGGATCTGATGGCAAGGTTTAAATCTAATATAGGAAAAGAGCTCTTTAATTAGGGTAGTCATGTCCCTTAAATGAAGAATCTCAATTGGCGCACAACAGAGATTCAGACCTCTTAGGTTGAAGAAAAAAAGGTGGCAGTTTCTCAAAGGATTAAAGCAGAGTTCCAGCCCTGCCACCCCCCCAAAAAAATACAAATACTGTAGCTGCTGACTTTTAATAGTAGGGCATTTACCTGTCTAGGCATCCAGCAGTTTCCTTACTCCTTACTCCGAGCCGATTCTTCAATTGGCTGTTGGGTGCTGACGCCACTATCTTGACTAAGGGAAACCACCAGTAAAGCCTTGCGGCTTCTCTGCTGGTTTCCTACTGCACATGTGTGAAGTGCGTGGTACTTTGTGAATGGTCTGCAGTCCTCTGGGTCCTTGGAAGAGCTTCCACTTTTGTGTGGAAAGATACAATACAAGAAATATTCAAGTATTATTCCTTTAAAAGGCACTTGACTGGGGCGGTGTCCCTTAAATGTACTAAGCAGGATGCAAAGTTTAGGTAAAAAGGTATCACAAGTTGTCAGAACACTTGCTGGAAAGGGGCAACTCCTCCATGGACTGCAGTAGCCAACGGCAAAGATGACAAATGTTCCTTTTAGACGGTAGGCCGATGGCGAAACGAATAATGATGTGGTTTGGCCAGCAGAGGACGTGCACCGCAGTCAGCTCTGATGATTGAATTATGCTGAGAATGTGTTCAGTAATAGGCCGGGGTACCTAGGCCGCAACATGTGTTAACTAAATTCAATGTCCACAACTGTGTGCAGGAAAATTAATGGATTTGAAAGAAATGTCAGTGTTCACTTGTTTGGCTGGTGTATGAGACTCTCTCACCTGATCTGTGGCATCACTCAGGTCCCAGGGGTCTCTCACTCTCTGTAGATGAGGGCCCCCAATAGTTCTCCGGTCCCACTTACAATGCTCAGTCTGGACACAGCGCTGTGGATTGCCTGCTGGCAGAATGTCTCCCTGAACAGGTTGACAATGCAAGTGGTCAGCGTTTCCTTCTTGCTTTTCTCCTCTCTAACTCTGCGGCTGGTCCGGTACTCTGGCATTCTGCACAGCCCTCTCCTCACGCCTGCTTCCCTTTCCTGTTCAGTCTCCGAGGCTTCTGTATATAAATGCCCTTCCCACATGCCAATTCCTCTTGGTAATGCAGACCTCTGATACACTGCTCCCCAAAAAAGTCCTGCAATTCAGCATACAAAGTCCATGAAGCTTTTCTACAGAGTTTGAGCGGTACAGAATTACAGGACACTGCCATCTTGTGTTTCTCTTAACATCCTGCAACTTGCATTATAGCAGGGTGTTACACTGGTAAACAAAGTATTTAAAAATAGGCTTCTCTACAAAGAATGTGGTTAGTATTTGCCTCTCACAAACAAACGATTTCCCAGCACACTTAACAGCCAGTCTGCAAAACAACTGAATTGTCCGTCTAACCATTTGTGTTAAAAGCAGAGGGTTTTGTTTGCACACATTTGCAAATATGTGTAAGCTGCAATGCCCAAGCCAAGGGACCTCTATATATACTGCGGTCCTAACTCTAAATTTCCAGAGCCTTCATAGTAGGAGCCAGGGGCGGACTGACCATTTGGAAACTCGGGCACTGCCCGAGGGCCTGGGGTCAGTAGGGGGCCCATGAGATGCCCCTGGTACCTTTATCATAGGTTTTTTTGAGTTTGGGCAAGGACACAGGGGCCCCCAACCCATAATCCCCTATTGCCCGGGGGCCCCATGAGTTGTCAGTCCGCCCCTGGTAGGAGAACATATATAAATGGATAGCTAGCACAGAATTCTTAGGAGGACCAGGCATCCAATACACCCGGAAGCAAGTTTGATGCTGAAGCCAGTGCAGCACTTAAAGACAGTGGAGATCGACAGCATAGTACTTAGAATTTATTTGCAGGGAAACTTTTTTTATATCAATTTTCCTTTTAAACAAAGGACAAGGTTGCCTAAATAAAGATTCAACACTGATACAAAACACGGACTTTGATTTCTTACCCTGCCTGGCCAGAATAGCCTTAGCATAATCAGGATGGGTGACTACCAGCCATGCGTAGAAATTGCCGAGCCACAATGGAAATCCATACGTGTATGTCTGAGCCCAATGTAGAGCATAGTCCAAGTCCTTTCCGATTTTAAGGAACTGCAATTGAAACAGACCAAATTTACTAACAGTACTTGTAATAGACAGTCATAACCTTTTAGATGGCTTATGTCCCTGATTTCCAAGGGCTTGCATGTTTTTTTTCAACCAAGAAACTCTTGTCCTTAGGATGAATTTAGCGGCAAGGGTGGCACTCAGGGGGATAGGGTGGCCAGTTTTAGAGTCAGCCGTTGTAAGAAGATGCTGAAAGCTTATGTAAGATGGGTGTGTGGTTGGTGTGTTTTTCTTTCTGCTTACATAGTGATGTGATGCTTGAGTGACTTACCATCTATACACTGAACACAGGGGGGGGTGCTTGCTTGGTAACTCTGCCATTCAGAAAATGTCTTGTGTATTTAATACAGGTTGTTCTGTAAAAGGTGAACGACATCACAATCTCTGCCTTGTCCAATCAGAGGACACCTTGTACTCATTGGGAAAAAAAATACATGATATTCTCTGAATGGTTCTGATGTAGCAAGTAAATGAATAAACCTTCCAGTAAGTCTATTACTAGGCTGCAGCTAGAGGGAGCTCTAATGATTGGTAGAGTGACTTCAGGAGGCTTTTAGAGTGGTTCTAAAGGCCCAAGTTTTTTTTACCTTCTTGCATTCTATGCATGAAGGTAAAAAAAATCTTCTGTGTTTAGCAGCCCTCCCAAACACTTATCTGAGCCCCCTCTTGATCCAGCGATATACATGAGAGTCTCGGTTCTCCGGGGATTGGCTGTGGCAAACTGACATTATTAAAACAGACTTTTATTAAAAGTATTGCCCTTACGTTGAATAAATAAACTACAGCCAAAAATGACAGACAACGGGGCTCCTGCATTGCTTCTGGTCTCGGAATTCGTCACCCCTGGCTCTGCCCAACATGTGTCGTCACGATCATGCGACTTCTTTGGGGGTCATTAATTTTATAGTGTAAAAAATTAAGTTACGTCGAAGCACATAAAATACCCCCACCCCCACATACATAAACACACGCACGCGTTAGGGCGCCCACGCATGAAAACGTTGATTGCGATTCACATGTCACATATCGCCACGCACGCCGGAATTAGAGCAATAATTCTAACACCAGATCTCCATTAACACCAAAATGATGACCTATAGGGGGATTATAAAGTGTTCATAAAAGTGGCCACCCGCCCAAGTCTATAACTGGCTTATGAAGCAAGGACACATAAACAGGCATCACATAGTGAAAAAAAGGGGGAGAGAACAATGTTCTTGGACAACTTGCCAGCCAGCTTGCTAACAACCGAATTAACCTGTCTAACAGTATGCGTTTATAACAGGGGTTTAGTTAGCACACATTTGCAAATACATACGTAAGCCACAGAGCCACGACACGGCACCCTGATCATCTGTGGTCCTAACTCTAAAATTTATGAGTCCCCATAGTAGAGGCACATGCATTTAATGGATAGATCAAGGGCAGGTGGACCTGAGGGAGCCACCCCTCTTAAAGGCAAAGGAGTGCACTGGACCCCAGCATGTAGCACAATGGCAACCAGGGCCCTAGTGCACCCACGTACCAAAAACTCAAACATGCATAAAAGTGGCCACCCGCCCAAGTCTATAACTGGCTTATGAAGCAAGGACACATAAACAGGCATCACATAGTGAAAAAAAGGGGGAGAGAACAATGTTCTTGGACAACTTGCCAGCCAGCTTGCTAACAACCGAATTAACCTGTCTAACAGTATGCGTTTATAACAGTTATAAAGTGTTGCCTATAGAAAATATAGGGTACTGAGGTTTGGCTCTTAATTTTTTAGCTGGCTCCTATATTCATTGTTAAACCCTGATTTAGAGGATGGATAAAATGTTTAGTACAATATAAATAGAATTGGGGGCCTTATGTTGAACACAAGTTCAGCGAATACACGAATAGTAAGGGAGTGCTGTAGCCTGTTCGCCCACTGCACCCCACAATGCACTGCAACCTGACAGTGCATTGTGATTGGCCAAAGCAATGCACCTGACCATAGGTTAGTACAATGCTTTGGCCAATCACAGTGCATGATGATATCACAAGGGGCGGGGCCAACCAGTGACATTAAACGGGTGTACCCACCCCCTTGTGATGTCATCACAATACTGAAGAACTGTCAGGCCGGCGCAGCTGTCAGATGGCGGGAACCAGCGTCGAGAGCAGAGAGGGTTTTTTTTCCCGATTGGCGGTGGTAGCGGACATTGTGATTGATGTTGGATCATTTGGGAGGACATTTTTTAAACTTTTATTTTCAATATAGACTTGTCAAAGTGTCTTCTATAATTTTTTACACTACCTTTTTTTTTTGTGAATGAGTAACAGTACCATGTACCCCATACTGATTCACATGGGGGAGGGGCCGGAATCTCGGGGCCCCCTTGTTAAAGGGGGCTTCCAGATTGCGATAAGCCCTCTGCCTACAGACCCCCAAAACCAACAGCCTACTGTTGTGGAAAAGAGTCCCTTGTCCCCGTCAACAAGGACAAGGTGCTTTGAAGGCATGATATGGTTCGGGGGGGGTGGGGGTGTGCTTGCTTGTCCCCCCCCTTTCATAACCTGCCAGGCTGCATGCTTGGATAAGCACCTGATTTGGATTTTGGGCCCCCCCCATACCATTTTTAAAAAATGTTGGTACGGGGGTTCCCCTCAAACTCCATACCAGACCCGAAGTGCTCGGTATGGATGGGAGGAGGACCCAACGTCGTCTTTTTTTTCATTTTTAATTGCCGGCAATTCTTTTTACATTCAGCTGTCAGTGGGGAGCCCCGCAGACAGCTGAAACATTAAAGAATGTTTTCACTACTAAAATACAGCATGACTTATAATAATATAGCTCATGTGGTATTTTAGTAGCGTAATAAAACATGGCACCTGCCCCGGTCTATAACTGGCTTATGAAGCAAGGACTATGTGAACCGGGCAACACATGTCAGTAATAAAGGAAAAATGGTTCAAAAATCAACTCGCCAGCCAGCTTGCCAACAACCAAACTGACCTGTCTAACAGTATGCGTTAAAAACAGGGGTTTAGTTAAGCACACATTTGCAAATACATACGTAAGCCACAGAGCCACATCACGGCACCCTGATATTCTGTGATCCTAACTCTACAAATTTGAAAGTCCCCATAGCAGAGGCACATGCATTTAAAGGATAGACCAAGGGCAGGTGCACGTCAGGGAGCCCACCCCTCTTAAAGGTACAGGAGTGCAAAGAACACCCAGCATGTAGCACAATGGCAGCCAGGGCGCCCAGAGCACTCACTCGCCTTAAAAACAACAGTGTAATAAAACATGGCACCTGCCCCGGTCTATAACTGGCTTATGAAGCAAGGACTACGTGAACCGGGCAACGCATGTCAGTAATAAAGGAAAAATGGTTCAAAAATCAACTTGCCAGCCAGCTTGCCAACGACCAAATTGACCTGTCTAACAGTATGCGTTAAAAACAGGGGTTTAGTTGGGTTTTAGTAGCTGTGCAGAATCTTACCTCATACTCTGATACCGCTTAGTAAATTGTCCCTGTTCGAAGTTCTCTGTCAAACTTTTGTTAGGTTCTAATGTTTGACCACGAACCGAACAGGGGGGTGTTCAGCCCATCACTAAATAAAAAAGACTTTTGGTAGTCCAATTCTACATTGATTAAAATTAAAAGGCTATGAATGAGACCTAAAAGAAGGACAGTTGGGTTTAGAGGAGGCACGGGGCAATTAGGATCCAAATGCTGTGCAACTCATAAATCAATAATACAGATATCAAATCTGAAAGGGATCAAGGTGCACCTTACCTCGTGTGCGTTTCCATACAGCCAGTGACACGGAGGACCCGGGAAAGGTTGGAATGCAGTGACCAGCTCCCTCCATCTCATATAGAACCTAGTGATTTTATAAAGTACATACAATCCAAACAGTGAAGCTGCCCATTGACACAGATTTGTGACACTCAGTGACAAGACAGAGGAAAGCAGAGGAGACAAAGCCATGGTGGGGATAGTAAACACAGACTGATCATACCGCCCCACTGGGCATGTGTAATGTGCGACACAGTGGCTGGCAATGGTAGCCTAGCCTCAGCCTATCATCCTGAGCAGAAGGTTGGCTGTCAATGAAAGGGGCTGGAAAAGAGAATGTGCTTTGCTCTCTGACAGAGGAAAAGCTGCAGGGCAAATAAAGAGAAGAAAACTGAGCCATTACTAATCACAGCAAAGCTTTACAAAAGGAGGATTAGTCGGGCGTTGTCTTGTACAATAAGTGTTATTTAACTAGTTCTGCATTAGAGCAAGAAGTGTTTTAATTTTTTTGCACACATGTAAAAATCTTCATTTCTGGCCATAAAATTACTTAAACCCCCAGAGCATTATATATTTTCTGAAACATGTTTCCAGCACTGTTGTTTCTAATCTCCATACTGGTGCCTACATGGACTGATACATATGGACTATTCTAATATACAGAATATATGGAGTTTTGACAAATTCAAGCAGAAACTGTCCAAAAACTCACAAGTTCAATGGATGCAAGACTTGGGAAGCTGCTATCAAATAAGGGGTCCTATGTTACAATGTAACGTGACCTGTTAAAATGTTTTAAAAGTTAAAATGTTAAAAGTTTGATTGAAATAGCTTTTGATTTAAGTAAATATGCTGCAAACACAACAAATGACAATTTTCAGTTCTTTACAACCTATAAAGTGTTTTGAAACTTACTGTGCGTAATAATTTGGAACAGTGCATTGTAAGTTTTTTATGTTTAAAAAAAAATACTGTTATCATTAGGAGGTTTGTTCAATAAAATGTGAATTGTACTCTTAATAGTTGATAACATGAGAATTATGCTGTTATTTACATCAATTATTTAGGTAAATGAGAAAAATATCATTTGGAACACGGTGTACATTTATATTTTCTGAAAGCAGAGACCCTGTAGCATAAAAAGGTGATAGTTGCAATTTTTTTATGTTGCATTGTACACAGGTGCCAGCTACAATAATATGAATGTAGTACACATGTATAATATACAGATACAGCCAGGGGCGGACTGACAACTCATGGGGCCCCCTGGGCAATAGGGGATCATGGGGCCCCAGTGTTCTTGCCCAAACTCAAAAAAGCCTATGAAAAAGGTACCAGGAGCATCTCATGGGGCCCCTTACTGACCCCGGGCCCTCGGGCAGTGCCCGAGTTTCCAAATGGTCAGTCCGCCCCTGGATACAGCGTGGTCAAAGTAGGTGTACATTACTTCTATTATTCGTTACTGTACATTATAAGGTGGCCCTCCTCATTTTGCTTTGTTGGAACAGAGATGGCTTGTCTACACCTTCCCCTTGAATTGACTGGCTGCCACAATCACCTAACCTGACTGCTATTGACAATTTTTTTTTTTTTTTTTTTGGGGTGGGGGGGGGGGGCACAGTAAAAGATAAGGTTTTTGAGAAGAAGACCCACACAGTGGATTAATTGAAGAAGTTAATCTCACAAGTATTTATGCACAGTTTAAGGCCCCTTTCACATGAGGTGGACCCGTCAGTGCATCCACTTGCTCAGTGGGGGGATCTCTCCGCTGATCCCTACTGAGCAAGTGAATGACAGGTCCATGTCCATTTCTCTGCTGCAAAGTGGACACAGACACAGTCCATTGTCCTCTATGGGCGGTCGGATGGAAACGGACCGACTGCCCATTTCCATCTTACTTCCATGCCTTCCAGTCCGACGGATGGAAGGGGAACGGATCCCCATCCGTCTCTTTTTGGCAGATTAGATCGGATCGGATGTTGGCGGATTGTATCGGATTGGATGTTGGCAGGTGTAAACAGACAAATGTCCGTTTACACCCGCCGCTTCATAGAGGAGAATAAAGGTTCCGATCGGGTCCACCTAAAAAGGGTCAGGAGGACCCGATCGGAACCTCCGTGTGAAAGGGGCCTCACAATGTCAGGGATAGGATCCAGGAATGCAGCAACTTAGTGGAGGGCATTTCGAACACCTAAGAGAATTAACAGTATCACAGTGTGGGGGACACGTTCTAGGGATTTCGCACCTAAGAGACTAAACATGACTCGATCAGTACTATATAACTACTTTTAGCCATATCGTTCTCAATAGCTGTAAAGTAACAGAAATAATAAACTAACGAAAATAAAAAGAAATAAATAAAATGCCATGATCCAATTAATAGTGTATACCTTCTATAAAATGTAATGATTGGATCAATAATGTGTGTGTGTGTGTATATATGTGTGTGTATATATATATATATTTATATATATATATATATATATGTGTGTGTGTGTGTGTGTGTATATATATATATATATATATATATATATACACCCCTAGACAAGACCTCCCATAGTATAGGGCAGTGCTGGCAAACCTATGGCACGCATGCTGCAGTGGGCATGCAGAGCCCTCTCTGTCGGCATGCAAGCCATATCGCCCCAGCAGCCGAGCATCGAATAAAAGTACACATAGGAGCCATGCATATGCTTGGAAAGGAGTAACGGTGCCAGGTGATGACGTCACAGGCTGTGAGTTGTCCGAGCTTTCGCATGGCTGGTCAGTGCACTGCCAAGGATATATATATATTGGACTGGCTGTGACTTTTAATACATTCGTTTTTATTAACACAAGATTTTAGCTTGTGCTGGTGGTCAGTGGAACTTTGCCCCCTTGTGCTGGTGGTCAGTGGAACTTTGCCCCTCCTTGTGCTGGTGGTCAGTGGAACTTTGCCCTCTTGTGCCGGTGGTCAGTGGAACTTTGCCCCCTTGTGCTGGAGGTCAGTGGAGCTTTGCCCTCTTGTGCTGCTGGTCAGTGGAACTTTGCCTCCTTGGCTGGTGGTCAGTGGAACTTTGCCCCCTTCTGCTGGTGGTCAGTGGAGCTTTGCCCTCTTGAGCTGGTAGTCAGTGGAACTTTTTTCCCCCTTGGCTGGTGGACAGTGGAACTTTGCCCCCTTGGCTGGTGGACAGTGGAACTTTGCCCCCTTGGCTGGTGGACAGTGGAACTTTGCCCCCTTGGCTGGTGGACAGTGGAACTTTGCCCCCTTGGCTGGTGGACAGTGGAACTTTGCCCCCTTGGCTGGTGGACAGTGGAACTTTGCCCCCTTGGCTGGTGGACAGTGGAACTTTGCCCCGTTGTGCTGGTGGTCACTGGAACTTTGCCCCGATGTGCTGGTGGTTAGTGGAACTTTGCCCCCTTGTGCTGGTGGTCAGTGGAAGCTCTGTTATTGTATTTTTCTTTTAAGACAAAAGATGTTAATGTTTGGGTTGTTTATTCTAAACTTAACCCTCATGTTGTGGGCTTGCTATCACTGGTATAAAGGGCTCAGTCATTGGTCTGCTTGTTTATTACCAAGTGTAAATGTTGTTTTGCAACTGTTTCACATGCTTGATAAAGTGTTTTATTGCTATTTTCCATTCTTTGATTGTTGACTAATTGCACGTTATTTCAATAAATATCCACCCTTGTGAACAGAAGAGTACACAAAAATTTGCTTTGGTTTGCCAACTCCGCTTTGGTTGACGAACACAAGCCGCGGCCTTCTTCCCTGCTCTGACTTGTGGTCGTGACTTCCTATAGGTGAGATCGCGGACAAAGACATACACTGAAAGTGTTCTGTAAAGACACTTACAGTACTGAGAAGCTTTTTGGTGAGCTTTTTAGCACATATTGTACAGTACTGTAGTGTACATCCCTGTGCACACTTGCTGTAAAGCTTTTTTGTGTGCTGTTTAGCACATACTGTACCAGACATCCAGTATGGCTCCAAAGAAAATTCAGAGCAAGCATGGTGGTAAAAAAGTGCAGAGCGGTAATGAAGGTGACAAGAATGTGCAGAGCGGTAATGAAGGTGACAAGAATGTGCAGAGCGGTAATGAAGGTGACAAGAATGTGCAGAGCGGTAATGAAGGTGACAAGAATGTGCAGAGCGGTAATGAAGGTGACAAGATTGTGCAGAGCAAGCATGGTAGTAAAAAGAATGTGCAGAGCGGTAATGAAGGGGACAAGAACATGCAGAGCAGTAATGAAGGTGTCAAAAATGTGCAGAGCGGTAATGAAGGTGACAAGAATGTGCAGAGCAAGCATGGTGGTAAAAAGAATGTGCAGAGCGGTAACGAAAGTGACAAGAACTTGCAGAGCAGTAATGAAGGTGACAGGAACGTGCAGAGCAGTAATGAAGGGGACAAGAATGTGCAGAGCAAGCATGGAGGTAAAAAGAAAATGCAGAGCAAGAATGGTAAGAGTTGAAGAAGGAAATTGTAGAAAAGCATGACTGTGGTATTCGTGTGACTGATCTGGCCTCGGAGTACAAGATGGTGAAGTCGACAATCTCCACTATTTCAAAAAAGTAAACTGCCACCAAAGGAGCTGATGTGGCAAAAGGAGTAACAATGTTAACCAAGCAGAGGACGCAAGTGCTGGAAGAGGTGGAAAAACTTTTAGTGTGGTTGAATGACAAACAGCTGACAGGTGATAGCGTTAGTGAAGCTATGATCTGGGAAAAAGCCAGGAAATTGCACAGTGATTTACTGCAAAAAAATCCCTCTACAAGTGCAGCAAGTGAAGAATTTAAAACCAGTAGAGGGTGGTTTGAAAAGTTCCACAAGAGAAGTGGCACCCACAGTGTGACAAGACAGGGTGAGGCTTCCAGTTCTGATAAGGCCGCTGCAGAAGCCTACAAGAAAGAATTTGCGGAATTCATGAAGGCAGAAGAATATGTCGCTCAACAAGTGTTCAACTGTGATGAAACAGGGCTCTTCTGGAAAAAAGATACTAAACAGAACCTATATCATGTAGGAGGAAAAGGCACTGCTGGGCACAAGCCCATCAAGGAGATCTCCCCAATGTCGTTATGGAGGGGGACTCTCCCACCGAACAATAACTGCCTCCCACCCACCTTCCTGTCCTCCATGCTAGAAGTCGTCTCAAGAAAGGTTAGTGTTCTCTTCATACTGTACTATACTTTGTTTCATATGTTTGTGGTT